GTTTTTATTGTAAAAAAAATTGTTGTGAAAGTATCATTCAAAAATTTATTTCTATTACGTTTCAACACTTCTTTTTTATCGCAGACACTTATTCATAAGAGGAAAAAAAGAGGACATGCAAATTACATCTACTGTTTGAGCTTACGTAAGCATCTTTTTACACCTGATGAAGAGGGAGTAAGTTTCTGTGTACACTTTCATATATTTAGATTTCCTGATCTTCTAAATAATCCAACATTTCAGAAACCAGGTTTTCTACTTGTCAGACCATATAGTCCTTGCTTATTTAGAAAAGTTATATTGCGTGTACCTATACTGTCTATCATCAATAGTATTGTAGAACTATTTGAGGAAAACCATCACCTGCTCTGAGACAAAGTAGTGAGAATCAGCACCCTATGACTGAACATGACATCAGGGACAGATGGTTGCTATAGACAAGGTTTTTACCTCCACACAAAGCCCAGGGAGACCTAGAGAGCCCCAGGGACTGTGATGTAACCCGGGAGGGGGAGCACCCCTATTATCTCTGTGTCCCTCCCCCTATTATCAGGCCATCCATCAAGCCAGTGCACTGACCATCTGCAACTGGCATCATCTGCATCTCTCATTACTGTTGTTTGGACAAAGCAGGACCACTGACAGAAATTCATTTACTTAATACACGCAATGGGGTCGTCTTACACAAATAAACAAGGGGCTGACATGCCTCATCTCCTAGACCCTGTAGTGACAGTGTTGTACACGTTTAGAGTGACAGGTTACAGCCTAGGTCTTTAAATTACTATTACCACTGTTAGTTCTTCTAAATCATGATATAGAATCTTTAAATTTTCTTCACATTTTTCAGATGATGATCATGTCTAAGTTAAATGACAAACTCTTTCCATAATCTTTAGATATCTCTGCTAAAAGCTTAACTCATTCTTCACATTTTCTTTTATTAATAAAATACAAAAATTTTCTTTTTTTCAACTACAATAAACTATATATAACTTCTAGGTGACTAACAAGTTATGAACAATATAACAACTCTGAACCAGATAGAAACGATTTGGTATTTTAGATAACTGACAATTCACAATCTGTGTCATTGTTAAGAAGAAGAAGAATGATTGTTACCTTCTTCAAAATAGATTCGTCCCTATTATCAATCAGACTGTTACAGGCAGTTACTCATCACCAGAAAGGATGACATAACCTGTTAGGCATGTCAAGTCCAACAGTGATGTACATGTCAGAAGATTCACTTGTCCCCATCGGAAATTAACGACATTTCATCCCGCTGTTCATTTTCAAGTTGTACTCACTTTATCAAAGCAGCAGCAGCAATAAACAACTTGTGACATGAACATGAATATACTTGTACATGTCAAGGTCTCCACTGGTGGTGCTTTTCCCTAATTAATGAGTCTACATATCACTGTCTTAATTGAATGCATTTGTGTGTCAAGAAATATGGACATCTTCAATCCTCTGGTGTTGTGAGTTATGCAATGTCTTCTTAACTAGTAGAACTTGATTGACACAGGCAATTCACAAAGTCAACCACATGATTTCAACTATGACAAGTATATTATGAGAACAAAGTGACACTATGTCTTCAGTTATGCTTTCACAACTTGGACTTTGAACCTACGTTTTTAATTATGCTCATATATTTCTGGGAGAAAATAATAGATATTGGAAAATATATGCTATCGGAACTATTGTATGCAGAGCTTTTAACTAGGAACATTAATCAGCAGTCTTATAGGTCATTTTTCTATCCCTTATTTGCGTATTTATGCAGCATAAATGATGCATTCAGGCATAATATATCTGCATAAATGAAGCAAATATAGATGAGAAAGATTCCTTTCTCCTAAAAGCTCCATAAATGAGATATTCCATCAAGTCAGCCTGGCAGCCTGGAGTTTCTGTATAACGAGGTGCTTGTCAGCAAACAAAATGTTATAAAGAGGGGTGGTCAGTTATTACATGGCTGGACATGCAGGCCCCTCATGAAATATTCAGTTTCCCCCTCCCCCTCTCTCCCCCATGTAATCCAACCAGCCCTATCTCCCTCCCAATGGCTATCACAGCTGACAGCACATTTTTCTCTCTGACAGATTATGTAATACTACAGAGACAGTTAACCCACGACCTGCTAACTACAGTCAAACAACTTGCTAGGAATGTTTAGATTGTTTATGGAAAGAATTCTCGGAATCTGGAATGTAGGTTTATTGCATGGTTGATCCATAAAACAAACAAATGATAAAACACATCCATTAAATCTGTTAAGTAGATCTTATAAATCTTTTTTTCATACATTTGCAAGTTTATATGAAATATGAAATGACATTACAGCAAAATAATGCTGTTTCGTGAATGTTTTCCTGATTAAATGAGATAAACAATCACTTTCCCTCCTTCTTCAGCAAATAGTTCTGACCTGTATACAAGAAATAAGCCATGAGGTTAGCTTCTCATCAAATCTTACATCAGCTGAACTTATCACAAGCTTGCAGAATTTAGTGTTTACTTTGCTTAATGTAGTGTGGTTTCTTCACTCAGATATTATGCAACATTATTTCACAGCATTAACACTTTCCCCCCTACTAATTTCATTCATTTTCTTCAAAGCCCCCTACACATGTTCCCTATATGTTTATGGAGAACTCAACTTCAAAGAAAGCAACGGACACTTCGCATAATAACATCAAAATAATGGAACATGAAGGTTATGAATTTAGCAGGTTGATGAATTATGCACAACCTTCCATACAAATGTCTGCTGGCAGCAAAGGGTTAAAGTGCACTTTTGTTGCCAGGGTACTTGAGGGAATCCCTTTATGAATATTTCCCAAGTTAATCTGAGAGAGCATGCAATTACTAACACTCACAGAACCTGATTACATCACTACACAGAGAGGATACAGCATTCAACAGCTCAGATAATTGGCCAGATGTTAATTAACCCCCTAAAAAGTGATCATATTCTTTCTGGATGACAGGAGTGTAGTTATATACCATCTGTCAGTGGAGGAGGAAATGTGCTTAGCTCGCCATGGGTTAATCCTCTGACGTAAGGGCTTGAGCGTGATCACTTTAACACTCTGGGCTCACACAATATTCTTCAGCCTTTTTACAAACATGACATAATGTGGCAAATTCCACAGAAATTGATGTTAAATATTTGAACAGTGTATTTTTGTGATAGCTTTTGAAAGGATGATTGAAAGGATTAATCTTAGTTGATATAAAAAGATTTGAGGGTGAATGTCATGAGGAAAAGTGAAAAAATAAAATAAAGTAGAATAAATTTGTTGACCCTTAAAATAACATGATTTAGTCCTGTAAAAAAAATTAGAATGTATCTATTTGTTCCCTAGCAATTTTTTTAGATCCTACGAAATTGATAATTACATTGCCTTTCAATTATTACTGGACTTATCAGCTTTTTGTTGATAAGAAATTTAGAGTAATTTATTACAACATGCTTTTTTCTGCATTTTGTTCATTTCCAGACAGATTAATAGAGAGGCATCTGATATTTTCACATAGTTTAAGAACAGATACAGCAGTTTTGCTGATAAAATGTAAAGTGTTTTTTTTAGAAGACAAGTGGGTTTTGAGTTCTCATATTTTAACCTTATCTAACAATATTGTATGTCTTTATTTTATCATAAACCAGTGCATTTAACAGCAGGGCTAACTTTAAGGGAAATATAATTAAACATCTTATCAATATGATTATAAATGTTCTTTCCATTAAAAGAAAATCACAAAATATGAATTCTTCATAAATAGATTATAATGAATGTACTGATGGTGATTTAATATCTCTTTGATAATACATTAAGAACCTGTCATAGAGATATCATATAAATTTGATTTTCATAAGCTTTTCTTAGAAAATCCATATCAAATTGTAATATGCATAGACTCATATCAAATAATACATTATATATGCAAAAGGATTAAGCAATTGGATGTCTTCATGAATTCTATCTCTAATATTAAAATCTTTTATCAGTTACTGTATAATACATGTCAGGTAGTGTGGTCAGACATGATATTAAAATTAATTTTTGTACTATAAATTCATCTTCAACTTTTACAGTTTTAACCTTGAAAAAAAACATATAAACTATGTTTATTTTCTACAAATCTTAATGTTTTTATAAAAAGAATTCAGCTTATTCCCACCCAAAAACAGGCCTTATCTAACTTGTAGTTGAACTTACAGCTCACCCATTAAAATACATGTATGTGCAAATGTAAGAAGCAATTTTTACCACAAGTCTTATGTGCATGAAACTCTGTACAGTTTATTTATTTCATGACTACACTATATCAGGTATGTTTTAGATGATAACATACAAAAATAAGAATAAGAGTCCTCTATACATCTACTGCTGCCAAAGAACAAAACCATTTAAATTAAATAACATTCAGAATAGATATGTAACAAATAACTTATTTGAAAATACACAAGTATAAATTGTTTGAACATTCTCATTTGCTGCACATATATTAGTAAAACTAAGCATACATCCACTCTTAATTATTTTATTCAGAGACCCTATCGGTAAAAAAAAAAAAGGTCTCTGTTTTATATTAGCAGAAAAAACCCACATGCTTACATGCTTTAATTTACATGTCTGGTTTTTATGACTAAAATATTCTTGGAAACAAAATAGCAGTGATTTGATCCATGGGGTCATAACAGATGTCAATAAAGCTGCATTTGTCTTGCACTTTTGCAAAAATGTTAACAATACAGAATAAATAGAACATCATTCAAATACATTTGATAAATTCAGATAATTCTTGAAAAGATTTCATTTTAAACCATGCCAGGAATCAAAACAACTGTTAAAAACACTGACTCAAATAAAAGCTCAACTAAACTCGTATGAACATGAACATTAAACCGAACCATCCATTCACTCGAGTGGACAACAAGAATTCTCTCCAGCATATACTTGCAAAGTAACGTGATGCATCCTTACCCATGCCATGATGTGTCTTTGCTGCTATAGTCACTAAAAATGTCCTTCATTTTGACAGTGGTCAGTGTTTTTCTGCAACTTCCTAGGTCAATGACGGAACTGTCCAGGCTGTTTACATGGCACAATCTAGCCACTGGTCATCCACAAGCTTTGGCTCTCTGACCATCCTTCCATCATCAACCAGAACAAAAAAATATGTTTGAGTAATGTCCAGTGTTCCTGTCCAGAGACTGTAATCAGCTGTCCAGGCTAGTGGTCAGCCTTGTGTCCATCTATCTATCTCCCTCAGTCAGCCAGCTCAGCCCAGCCGGCCAACAGCCATAAATAATGAGCAATAGCTGACCACTGGCTAGTGACTATAGCATCGTATTCACCAGTGGTGTTATTGCTGCATATACCACACTGACTGACCACTGGGCTCCTGCCTGCTTGGCTATCTCTGCTGGTGTTCTTGTGTGGTGCAGGGCCAACACTTGTAGTAGTGGAATACGTGTTTTATTCCCTAACTGACCGCTCGGTACTGACCACTGTTTTTAACGGAAACAGCTCTGTTGACTCGCTTCGACCAACTGACCAGTGGTCACTCTGGTGTACAAGGAGATAACAGCACCTTTCCAAACACAACTGAAGAATGTTTAACAAACGAAGCAGATGACACCTTCTTTCCCTGATTAAGAATGAAATCAAAAGCCGATTGCGATATATCTACATCTATTGGCCGGAAAAGACGTCAGTTGACAGGATGCAATAGCTACTGCTGTACGATGCTACTCTAACCCAAGTCACTCCACAATAGGAAATATTTTTAACATCACTGCATTGACCAGTCACATGACTTCAAGCTGATAACAATATGACATAACCGTCTCTCTTATCAGTGGTCACTGCTCTGGTCAGTTCAACATTGTGACCACTACATTGCTCCCACCAAAAAACACCCCAGGACATGCCACTTGACCAGAACAAGCCTGATTTATTGCACCTTTTTATTTACTCAAAGCAAACATTAACTCCACTAGGAAAAATCCCCAAATTACAGCACTCAGAGTTAATCTATCACACCTACCCAGTTATTGTGAAGCCTAAGGCACATATCACCTCCTGTATTGTATAGAGCAGGCTTACAAAGGACCTATCATTGAGCTCAATGCAAATCTCATCTAGTGGAAAAATTGAAATGAAAAACTTTATAATGATGATCCACCCCATAGGGTGAAAATCTGCTGCCATGTTGACAGATGGTATGCTGTATAATTATCTTACATACTAGGACATTTTTCAAACCTACATGTTCCATACTAAACTTAAATAGAAATATCTCATGTTCAGCATAAGACAAATCACACATCTTATTCCAAAACGTATATGTTGAGGGTACTGTATAATTTATTTTTTTCATTTTCAGCTTCTTTTCTCTGACGATACCATTTAGTTCTTCAATTTCATTAAATTTTATAGAACAACAAATAATTTAAAATGCTTACACAAATGTTTAAAGAAATTACTTCAAAAATCAAATTCATTTTTAAGATATGTAATACTCAACAAATTCTGTTAATTAATCAAGACAAAATATGATCAATAACTGATATGGAATACAACCTATAGAAAATTGGCCAGTAAACAGATGCACGTTACCGCTAGCGCCTAACATGTTCTCTACTCACCACGGAAATCCACTCCTCATTATGTCCATTGTAGAGGAATGTACGTTAATGTTTGTACCTATTGTCTATATGTCTTGCTTGTGAATCAAAGATGAATTGATGATGAGAAGCTAAGCAAGTCGACTCACATTCAATACAGGCTCTTCTGTTGTCCTCCCCCCACATAAAAATGCCTTTATATGTTGCAAATGTCACTCACTCCAGCAGACTGGAAGGCTTTCTTTGAAATATATGACATGATTTTATCCTTCAAAATGTGAAATGGCCATTTATGTCCCTTGCATCAATTAGATGTGGAAACCAATATACTCTGAAGGTGATCGCCTAGCAGATGGATTTTCACGATTTCTACATTTTTTGACACTATTGGGGAAATGTTTATTAGGCCTGAAATTCTAGAAAGAGGGTACAGTGTCATCATCATGATTGGTCATTAGCAGGACTTGTAGTTACTGAGACTAGAAATAAACGAAATGACAGTGGGCAAAATATTCATTTAATAAGGACAGAATAGAACAATGTCATTTCTAATAGAATATGTCAGACATACTCCAAGTCATGAAAACTCTGTATATGAAACCCAAAACAATGCAATATATTAGTTTAGAGCAAATGTGGGTGAAAATGTAATTTTGTCAATGATTTCTTGTGGACATTTTCAATTTCTTTGTCTTAATAGACTAATAAGAAATATCTAAAGGCCAATTCTACTCACTAGGCATCTCAGGGTGTTAAGACCACTAATTATACATTTTAGATGAAAAATATTAACAATGATAAGATATCAGTTATTGTCCCCACCAGCATGATTAACAAGACAAATCAAATTAAAAATAAAATTGATTAAGGCCTGAGAAAGTCAACGGAAATGTAAGTCTAGACATATAAGGGTATCTTGCAGTTTATTACATAACTGCCTACTTGGAAGAAATACTGATATGATATTTCATAATCATCTTTCTCTAATTCTGTTAAAATAAAATGTTCCTAACATTAAGACAAAGGACATCAATCTGCAGCTATTTTCAGGATGTCATATTGAAGAAATGAATTTTCTTTGGATTATTTTTACAAACACGGCATCAAATCTTATACCTATTAAAATGAAAGTAGTATTACATTTTTGAACTAGACATTGAAAAACAGCTCAACATCAAGTTTAACATGGAACTACATACAAAAATGATGTATGGTTAATGCTTCTTCCTTATATTAAGGTTTGACATAAGAAAAATCTTTTTATTTCCTCATAATAATGACTGTAAAAACATCAAATCCTACATATTCCCTTCTCTGTTGTTTTGTGTATGTCGTGAATATTCAGGTATTGCTTTTTCTGAAAATATCCTGAAATTTGATGAGAAACATATAAAATGTTCATGTCAACATGAGAGTAATGTGTCAGCTAAGTATGGACCATTACTCGAGTTGGTTGTTATCCATCTCAATTCTGACTTGATTATTACAATGGAATAATGTAATAAATACATATACAAATAATACTGTACACTGTTTCTGGCATATTATTATTTTATTTTCAATATATCCTTGGGACGCTGACAACAGGGGTAATAACACAGCACCTGTTGCATTTTCACCATCACAATACATACTTTTTTATTACTCCGAAGACATTTATTTCTCATAACATCAGTCAAAAATAATTTTCTACATTTTATATTTTCATCATTAGTAAATATAAAATGTCAATGCAAGAGAATATCCAATCTCAATTATCCAACAAAACAGATTCCATTGGGGGGAAAAGGCAAAATACAAATGTAGCTGTGAAAAATATATGAATGGATCACTGAAAATCAGTGATGACACCAGGTGTTCGCACAAAGGGTACCCAATGTTTTCTGGGACTATCCTCTCATTGATGTTATATTATCAATGCTGGTAAGCAAGAACATCATAACAATACCCAACCCAACATGTACAGTGTACTGTAATGGAAATACTGATTCACTGAATAACATATTTCATAATAACCTGCTCAAATTAGTTGTATTAACAAAATCCTGTTGAAAAATTCACTTGGGAAATATCTTAACTTGTATTTGAAAATTAGTAAGAAACAAAATGAAACAAGTGATTATTCTTAACCAAGCCATCACTATACCTCATTGTTATTCGTCAAGAGATTTCAAACTGATGAAAGGTGGTTTGACTTTCTCCATCCGTTGTGTTGAATGTAGATGAAACCTGCCTGATATGACAAATAAGTTTGTGACGGAAGATAAAAGTCCTTGAACACCACTCCCCTTGCTTGTACACTGTCAGAGGAACAAAACATATCTCAGCTGATTGAAGCTATGTTGAGGCCCACTTAGGGTTGCAGCAATGTGGCCGATGAACACCCGAGTAGCCAAACCCTCATTCCCCAAATATTACTTGTCTGTGAAAGAAGACCTTGAGGTTTATGAGCAGAAAAACATAGCAATACTTAAACATAACTATTTACTGAAAATGAATAGTAGAGGTAGATTGTTTTGTCCACTGTTGGAGGATGATTGAATCACTTATCAAGGTTTTTGTCCTTGGTTGTTTCAGGCAGTCCTGTGGTAAGATGAAACCTAAGAATGCTTTTCCCTTCAAAATGTCGTACATTGCTTTTGGGAACTTCAAATAGGCAGGTTATTAACCACTGTGTGTCCCACATACCAAGATTCCGAGGCAACATAACAACGTGTCAATATTCATGAAATCATTACAACTCTTAAAGATTAAATGGAATGTATATCATAATAAGAAAAATAGGTACATATGCATAACTACTTTCTATCACTAGTACAGAAGCATAATTTCACAATTTCGTTTTTTTTACTTTTTATAATATTATCTTATAATTGAAAAATGTAATACAAACCTTATATTGTAATAAAGTAAAAAAAATAGTTATCACAATTAATTGAAAATAGAATGATAAATGAGCAGCCTTAAGGCTAATTGTTCAAAATGGATCTTCTGAACAGTCTAATTTTGTCATATTCATGTTTTTAGTGTCTCATGAATAGTGTTCCAAGTTTCAAAAATTAATTATCACATAATAATATCCACAGATATCCTTAGAAATAACACTGACATTTCAATTTTTATGACTTTGTAATAATATCAATGTGTCATCATATCAATTCTTTTTACATTTTGATATTCCCCTAGAGCTTTTCAAACATTATCATTGATATCTCAAATACAAATATCAAATAATCTTCAGTGTAATGGACATAAAATGACAGAAATCTCCATTGAAGCTATGATTGTTATCCACGGTTTATTCTTGTAACTGTAGTGAATCATATAATCAAAGCAATAAAGCTGATTAGTTTCATTAAGAAACATATACAAACAGATATTAAAATCCTACCAGAAACATTTTATTACAAAACAGGTGATGTTTTCAGCCTGTCAAACCATTAACTTATTTAAGTTCACACATTTGTTTCACGGTCATTAAGTTACTTGGGATTTGATAATTTAAGAATTCAGTTACTTTCAGCATTCTCAGCTACAACCTGACTATACCCCATTGTCTTCTGAATATAACTGAAAATGAAATTCAATCCAAAAATATCAATTTCCGCAAACACAGGTATAAACTATTCACAGATTAGCCTGCAAACTTTAACCCTAGTACAAAACAATGTCAAAGTCCCCTGTGCATCTTATTCAATAACAGCCCAGATTCCTGGCTACTGTAACATTTCCCAACCTTCACAGGCCTCAAGTGACATCATAGACCGAAGGAACCTTGGACTCAATCAGCACGGACAGGCTTACACAAAATAGGATATACACCTCTTAACAATGGGATATAGACCCTTATCCCTGTTTTTAAATGCGTTATCATCAGACTACCATATTTGTAAGGAGACGGAGCACACTACGAAATCAACATGGGTCAAAGGTCATCAGAAGATGCAACAGGGAGTGACATCCCTCCTGAACTGTATTTGTTTCCGAATCCGATCACATGTTTTCACCACTGAAGTGTTTATTTCTCTTTGGGACATGCACTGTCATGTTCTTTATTGTACTGCCAAGTGTTTTGCTCTAATAACATGAACCGGATCTAAAACTGAGTAAAGTGAACTTATCAT